ATCAATAGGCATTCCCAATTTATTTACATTTTCTTTGGAGGCAAAATCTTCCAACTCCCATTCCGTTTCAGTAGATACAATTCGTGAGGCATGATCTGCCTTATTCTCTGCAGAGTTAATATAGGATGCATTTAATCATACATCTCTAGCTTCGAACCATTGCCAAATACTACGAGATAGTTTATTTAATTCGACCTTCTGGATGCCCCCCAGACTGTTAACATAAGCAATGGCGGTGGTATTATCTACCCGTAATAATATCGACTTACCCCTAAGATCTTTTGCAAAACACTTATATATAATATATTGCCAACGGTTCCAAATAATTTATGTTTTAATCCAAGGGATTTAGACCACCAACCACAGGTAGTATCCCCATCGCAATATGCCCCCCATCCGGTTTTTGAGGCATCTGAATAAATCTCAATTGCAAAGATATCTTTTCGTATTTCATTTTTTGTTGTAGGGGCGCGTGACTCCCACCAACATAAATCAACTCTAATAGATCTAGAAATTAACGTTGTCCCTTCATAACATTTATTTGATTTCCTTAAAGCTAATACTTTTCCAGCTCAAAAATCTTGGTATACAATTTACCATATTTAAAACAAGGACAAGCCGAAATTAATAACCCAATAATTTTTATATATTCTTTGTTCTTTAACTGATGAATCCAATTCAAAATTTTTAATCTTTTTTCCTCTGTAATTTCAATTGTTATACCTACAGAATTAAAAACAAAACCGAGATAAACACATTTGTTTGAAGGTATAAGTGAACTTTTTTCCATGTTATCACAAAGCCTAAAGATTTTACTAGATTTGTAGTAAAAAGGAGGGATGATTGACATTTCTCTTGTGTATTACCCATAGTCCAAATATCATCCAGGTAGATGACACATTGTACCCAAGATTTACGCAGAAAACCTATAATGGGCCTCATCAGTTCTGTAAATAATGATGGTGCTAAACTTAATCCAAATGGGAGACATTCGAATTAATATAGTATGCCCCTAACTACAAATCTCATAAATTTTTTATATCTATCATGTAAAGGTATCAGAAAATATGCATCTTTTAAGTCCAAAGTTGCCATGAAGCAATTGTCCTTCATTAACCTCATGACGACTCTAGTATCCTCCATTTTAAAATGATGTGTAATTACAAAGCGGTTCAACCGGTCCAACCGTTTGAGATTTAAAATAAAACGCTTTTGCCCATTCGCTTTTTCAACCAAAAAATAAGAGGAGATAAACTGACCTATTTGTGGCATACAAGGGGTTACTGCTCCCTTATCTAATAGCTCTTTGAGGGCTTTATCAACTGCAGGACCATTATTTGATCTGAAGCTTTGAGTTTCCCTTGGAAGCATACTGAATGGTATTTGGTAACCTTCCTTAATAGTATTTTTTAGGGGGAAGTTATATTTTCTAGCGTACCTACACCATGTCTCATAGTATGTTTTCAATCTCCCAGATATTTTACTTACCTGTTTTACCGGGAGAATGATCCCCTGGTCATTCGAGGAGCAGGCCTTTTGTGTCGAGATTCCCTCTGATATCTGGACAGGCCCCTGTAGTTTAAAGCTCCCCGCATATTTCCTTTATTTTGAGTAACTCTCTTAGGGACTAAAGGAGTTTGCCTCATTTCCTTGGCCGACCTTTCCATTGCTTTTGCAATTTTGAACTTTTCACCTAGATCCGGACCAAAAAGCAGTTGTCCAACAGGGACTATATACAACCTCTTTCACTGATTTTACCAGATAAGGGGTGATCGTGGGTTGATTCATCTCTAGAAGATCTAGACAGTTTCTAGTTTAAGTTAGAATACCAAATATCACGAGGTCATTCAAGTTGCAGAATTACGAACTCTGATGACAATGACATGCCTTCGCATGGTTGAACTAGAAACTGTTGTAGGATCTGGTGAGGAGAGACATCGCTTTTGGCAGGAGGCGATCTAGAGGCACCTAGATATATGTTCCGTAAGCCATATAAAGTTATAACAGAACAAATTGAAGAGCCGGAAGTGGTAGGTACGATTCATATCTACACCGACGGTTCTAAAACAAAACAACACTCAGGATGTGGACTATAGGTACTTCAGAACCTTAAAACTAAACATAAAATGGGCTGTGAACAATAGTGCCAGTGTAGTTCAAACGGAGCTCACGGAGTTTCTCATAGCAGCAAAAGAAATCACCAGAAACAATAACGCTGGAAGCACTACTCACCCTGAATAGACCACGAATTTGCTAAGGGTTAGTACTATATAATATCACGAAGCTTTGGCCTATATAAGTATTCATAAACAATCTGGTCACCTTAAGATGGGTCAAAGGTCGATCACGATACATCCAAAGGTATCCGTCTTGCTAATTCACTGGCCAAGAAGGCAGCGAACCAAATACTTTTTGGATCTCGCCCTTTTATTGGCCTGACAAAATCGTTAGTGACAGACCTAATTAAAGAACATTCCATTGTGAAATTCAATGAAAGATGGGATATGGGATGAAACCTTCGAGCATATATTACTAGAACCATCGTCTAAATGGACTTTGTTTTGGTACAGAGGGGAAAAATTGTGTCCAGCATTCCCATTATTGGTCTGTTTCGTTTTGCTTGGCATATCAAATCGTTCGAAATTGTCAGAACTGTCATTTGATTTTTGATTTTTATTAATTTCTAGCTTATTTTTGTAGTGATTTTTTTAACACGCCTTTATTAGCTTCACCTGTATGTATGTATGTATGTTTGTAACTCCCCTTTGGACTAAAAGTAAGTGGCTTATTACTGTCAGTATATCCCACTACCTCAAGTTCGTTCGTTGGCCGAGCGGTCTAAGGCGCGGGTTTTCGATCGCCAGACTCACGGATCGTGGGTTCTAATCACACGGCTGAAAAAAAATTTTTTTTTTCAGCAATTTCAACTTACAATTTTTTTTTTAATAATTAATTGAACTAAAAAGTAAAAAATATAGTTTAAAAAAAAACTAAAAAACACGCTTTTATAATACATCGAACTAAAAAGTGAAAAATAAATATAGTTTAAAAAACTAAAAAACACGCTTTTAGAGCATATCAAACTAAAAAGTTAAAAATAATTTTTCAAATAAGCTTAAAACAATAATAAATGGAAAATACTAGTATTATTGTAAAAAAAGCGTGGGGCGCTTTGTCCATATTTCTCGTACATCGAGCGCCCGACGCTTTTTTCACGTTTACTAAATGGAGCAGTTCCCACTATATTTTCTGAATTCTCTAAATACATGCAGCCGAAGAAGGTGCGTATACTAATAAACATAATTAAACATATGTATTCTTTTAATTTCATTATTATGTTATGAACTTTTAAGAATTTAGCAACCCTTTTGTGAATAATTCAAAACATGACCGTAATAATTGATTGTTTGTAGTACTTAAAAAGAAGAGCTTTGCATTTGGAAGCTGAGCCAGGCCCTTCAAATAGAACTTCAAATAAGGAATCTATCCTAGAAAGCAAGGAATCTATCCTAGAAAGCCCTAGCATAAAACGGCTTAGAAGACAATTTTTACAACAGGTAGAAAAGAATAAAGAAAAAAACAAGACAAATCAAAGTTCTTAAACAAAAACTTAAAAGATATAAAAAAAGAGTTGTTCGCTAAAACTTCTTGTTATTGTACCAAATTAGTATTAGTTAAGGGCCAGTAATAAATTTATCTTAATTTATGTATAATTTTTCTTACTAGCTTAATTTAATAATATCTAGAGAGTATTTTACATCTTAAAGAAGTCCAGTTCATGTCTTACTTTCGTCCAAACGTCCTTGTACGTAAAACGGACGGTTTTAAGACGCCCTGCTCAGGACATGTTTAAAACGTCTTTGTTGGGATATTTTTAGGACGTTTTAAATATGTCGGTAATGTGGACGTTCAACTCTTTTCGCTATATTTGAATATAGCGCCACGACAGAGTTTTGGCACTGCCTGCAGCGCATGTAGATCATCATTCGTCATTGTCATTGGCTGATTGGAGTCTCGCGCGCGCGTATCGAGTCGTGTTCTTCCTCTAGCTGCCTTCTTCTCGGGACAGCCATTGTATAATATTTTTAGAGTCAGTCTGTGGAAATTGTCATTACTTTTTCGTGGTTGTGTGTTTTTTTATATAATGTCTTTTTATATTAATTATTTGCCCTTATTGGAACTGTGATATACCGGAACTGGTAAACTTTATCATTAAAAATGGTGGGTTTAATTTATTTGCCTTTTAATTTCCTAACCTCACTTTAATGTCTTATTTTTTAGAAAAACATCTTAAAACAATAACTTAACAAAATTATATGCTAAAATTAATACTATAAAATTTAAAATTTAAATCGACCAAACTGGAATAGTTTCTCATAGCAACAAGTACTTGAAGTCATTTTTTAATTATTTTATCCAACACTGTAAAATAATATTTACTCTGTATCAGTTTTCATAGTTTCATAATGTATAATAAACAGTATTAAATATAGTAGACAAGTATTCATTTATTTTTTTAATGAATTTCTATCAAGTAAATGGACGACTTAAACACGTCTTCAAGACGTACAAAACTGGAAGTCTTAAAGACGTACAAAATTAGATGTCCTAAAGACGCCTTGTTTTGTAACAAATTACGACCTTTTGGATATTAGCGTAAATATTCAAAACGTCACGAACGTCGTGAACAAACGTATTTAAGATGTCTTTAAAACGTGTCTGTGCTATCTGGGTAGTGTAATTCTTTATTAAGTAAAAAAATCTTTCTGTAATACATGTAGATCATTATGTTTTATTTTGCGGAATTAAAAAAAAACACTCATTTTATTATGTAAACGATTTCTTTTAGTTTATTTCAATGTATTTTTTTCTTGTGTCTTTTTTATTGTTACTTATTTATTTTAAATTTTACGCTTTGAACTTGCTTTATACCTAACAAGATCAATAAAGTATTAATACCATAAATACAAGTTCGTTTTTTTATTTTCAACATGTTACGCCTTTGGTCAAATATCGTTGGTGTCAAAATGGCACAAGATTTTCAGCGACGTTATGAGTCCTCTCTTTATTACCTAGTCTAAGGCGTTGGTGTAATTCATTCCTACACCAGTGGGACGAACGAAAGAACCTATCTCCAGTCTTCATAGCTGAACGAAATGATATTTTTGAAAACGTCCCAATTGACAGACATTACTGGAAGACTAGTTCTTTTCCCACAATAATGTGAGGCATTTCGTCAAAATTGTCAGCAATATAGTTTTTTTTATCAATTATTCGATAATTAAGTTTATTTAAATTTTTGTATTGCAATTTGAGACATTAAATTTCTTCTAAAATATAACAGAAAGAAAATACCTAATCATGATTAAAAAGGGACAAAGGTAAGTTTTAAAATTTTAAGAAATAGGTATAAAACGAAATAAATTAGAAGGGAACGTCGCTACATTTATTCCAGGATAAATGAGTTTGAGAGATTCTGTCTGGTTTAGAAAAAATTTTATTTTTATAAGTGATATTGCAACATAGTGCGTATTTCTGAACAATTGTAGGTAATTGAAAAACTATATAGTTTCCATTGTTGGGAATTACTTTTCTGTAATAAACGAAATAATAATAGGATTTACTCTGCAAATTAATAATACATTCAGATGGTCTGATGCTGGCTGTAAGTAATTTTTAATATAAATTAATTATAATACAATATCTGTTTTCTATAATTACCTACTCGTTTAAACCTTAACCATGGTCGATTTCCTTCATATTTATATAAAATTTGAATTTTGGAATATCCTTTTTGCTCAAAATACTGCAATGTAAACTCATAATAATTTGTAATTAGAATGTAATAAAAATGCTGAACATACCACCGTGTTACATCAAGATTTAAATAATATTTCTTCAGTTTTAGTTAAATCAGATTGACTAATTTTTGACTACATTATCAAATTTACTCAAAATACTATAATAGATAATAATGTAGAAGAAGATTATACTGTTTAAATTCTCTGAAATTATATGGTTGGTTCTGTGGAAAATACAAAAAGACTATAGACAAAAAAATTATAGATATCTACTATCCGCCGAATAAGATAGGGGGTATCTTCCACCATATATATTTCATAGAGTCCGCATTCAATAGCGTTTCTTTGGGTTCAGAGGAGAAATGAAAGCTGACACTATAACCAGTGTCGCACCATTTTACGGGATTTGCAATAAATATAAAAATAACAAATTAAATATAGGTACATACCTTCAAAATACATTTATTTTTAAATTTGGTACAAGTTTTACAGACTTGCATTTAAGTATCTAGTAATAGAAGAAAAAGAATTTGCAGATTAAACATGAGCTCAAATTATAAAGTGTGTAATTGTTGCAATAAATCAGTTTTAAAATTCGTAAAATGCGATATTTGAGAACAAAAACATAACCATGACAGCTGTTCAAAAAGGGTTTGTGTGGAATCCGATAATTTAAAACGAAACCTTGAATTCACAATTTTTTCTAATGTATTTATGAACATTAATGAAGAAATTCTGACAAGGATTACTGCAACCTGAAGAACACTGATAAATTAGTAATAATAATGACACAACGGGGTGGGTAGCTCAGTGGTAGAGTCTCTGCCTGCAGATTTATGGGTCCCGGGTTCGAATCCCATCGTTGGCTGGGATTTTATGTTTACTTTAATTATTTAAAAGTAATTAACAGTGTTGTTCATAAAGTGGTGCTGGGAAACAGTAACAAAGCCTACATGGACCACTAGGCGAAATAACTATAGTAGTTGAAGCCGATGACACACACACACACACACACACACACACACACACACACACACACACACACACACACACACACACACACACACACACACACACACACACACACACACACACACACACACACACACACACACACACACACACACACACACACACACACACACACACACACACACACACACACACACACACACACACACACACACACACACACACACACACACACACACACACACACACACAAACACACACAAACACACACACACACACACACACACACACACACACACACACACACACACACACACACACACACACACACACACACACACACACACACACACACACACACACACACACACACACACACACACACACACACACACACACACACACACACACACACACACACACACACACACACACACACACACACACACACACACACACACACACACACACACACACACACACACACACACACACACACACACACACACACACACACACACACACACACACACACACACACACACACACACACACACACACACACACACACACACACACACACACACACACACACACACACACACACACACACACACACACACACACACACACACACACACACACACACACACACACACACACACACACACACACACACACACACACACACACACACACACACACACACACACACACACACACACACACACACACACACACACACACACACACACACACACACACACACACACACACACACACACACACACACACACACACACACACACACACACACACACACACACACACACACACACACACACACACACACACACACACACACACACACACACACACACACACACACACACACACACACACACACACACACACACACACACACACACACACACACACACACACACACACACACACACACACACACACACACACACACACACACACACACACACACACACACACACACACACACACACACACACACACACACACACACACACACACACACACACACACACACACACACTGAGTCATGGACTCGATGGGGCAGGAGTTCGGTGGTATCTTCGCTACCTCGATCAGGGAATTACACTGGAAGAAGCAAAAAAAGAAAGCCGTGGAGCACAAATGCCAGGGAGAGGGAAGTAAAACGAATCCTAAGAATCTGAAAAGAAAGTGGGACGGGAATAACACTTCACCACCGCAAAGGAAAGAAATGAAAAGTAGCCGTTACCTCCTCTTCTGGTAGTTATACAATGTCAAGATGGAGCGGGCCGTGATCCTACCTAAGGGGTTCCCTGAGACTATCGTCAGTGCGAACGAACAAACCCTGGTGGAAGAAGCCATAGTAAAAGATATGTTCGCTGGAGCATAAACTCCAATTCTTAGGCGTCTACTTTCGACCAGAAATGTTCCTAATCAACTGTGAAACCCTGTGTATTTAATTTATAATTTATATAATTCAAACCCCGTAAAAATGATGCGTCACTGGTTATAATATCTGAAACATTTTCCTTCTGAACCCGAACAAGCGCTATTTAATGGCGGTTTTCCACTAAACGGACAAAACAAAAACAAAACACAAACTCGTGTCGCGGAAAGCAAAACTGCAACTTTTCTCAAACTTCTTGAAGACTGGCGTGTTTTGAGACAGTTGGAGTCCCGCTCGGAAGCGGTAACATCAAAAGGCTTTGACGTGTTTTGAAACTCGAGTCTGTTTACTGGAAACGGCCGTGTTGTGTAGTCTAAATATGGTTCTAAATTGGTAACTATAAGTAAGTAAATAACGTATTTTTTTATAGATAAGTAATTAGTAATAAGTAATTTATTTTGAAACGCTGGATAAATTTATATAAATATATTTATGTGTAGAATATATATGTATCAGTGACAGACTAGGTTAGGTCCAAATATTGTCCATTTTTGGTTTTTATCAAAGAGGTTAGAAAGGGTAGAGGTAACATAGGAAGCATTTGTCCCTGCGCGAATTTTGCCAAAACCGAAAAACTGGGTGGAAGGAGTAGGGAGATGTTCTGGGTCGGACTTAAATATTTGTATTGTAGTATTTAATTTTGGTAGGTAACTAAAAGATGAAAAATTATGAGACATTTTTTTGACTTTATTTGTTAGCACGATTCATTTATGATGAGGGCAATATATAGCTAGTAGCTAAGGGTGAATTCCACCGTTGTGTTAAACGAAGTTTAAATTACTAAACGAAGATTAAAATGACATTGTTAACGTAAAAATGTCATCTTAATCTCCGTTTAGTAATTTAAACTTTATTTTTGTTAATACAAAAATGTCATTTTAATTTTCGTTTAGTATTTATAAACGGTGAAATCGACCCTAAGTAAAAGTATATAAAATTATTGTAACAAAATAGCTGTTGAGACAAAACAGCCAATATAATTTTTGCTCGAATGACACACAAGATTTTTTTCTATGATCATACCAAAATAAAATAAATAAATGTTATATATATTATAGAAATTATAGAAATATAGAATTTTTTGTTCGTTATAATATTTTAAGTTAATTTGACATAAGCCTACTCTTCGAAGAGAAAAAAATGTTTTGGTACTTATATGACGGTAATTATTAAGGATTTAATTATTTACGGAAAATACTGTTCAATGATTTAAGATATTAGGAAGTCAATAGCTATTTATGTAACCAGTTACGAAATGCCTTATTTCGTGTAATGAGTATATATTTGCGGGACGAGCGGAGCGAGGTCCCACAAAATGAGCGAGTTACACAAAACGGCATTTCGTAACGTGTTTACATACAAGATTTTTTCTAATGTTGACTTGATTATTTAAAAAATTGTGTTTAAAAATGATTCACCATCATTCTTTTGTAAGTACTTCCAATGAAATATTTCAGAAAATTTTTGTATTTGATTGCCCTACGACTTTTTTTTTTCAATAGTAATAATAAAAATAAGGGACATGTGCAATGTTGCCAATCTGAGTTTTGACATTCGCCGCGGAAAATTTGAAAAAAAAAAAACGTTTTTACCCATTATCCTTAAAGGAGTACGTCAAAATTTTACCCCCAACATTTCTGGGCAGTTTTCAATAACGGTGTTCAATTATTTAAAAAATAAAACGCAATTTACAGCCTTTTCCTTTTTTGTTTTCTTTTTTGTTGTTAAACGTAATGTCATATTTTCAAATGTAAAATGTCACTATTCATTGCCTTGTTTTCGATTTTTTTATTTTTCGATTTTTCGATTACTCGATTTTTCATTTCTTGATTTCTCGATTTTTCGACTTAAAAACAAAAAAGAGGCAGTTTTATTTATTTTCATTTCGTAAGTGGTGACATAATCAACTTTTTGTAATCAGTTGCATAATGTTCTAATTTATGCAACTGGTTGCATAAAGTAGATCGTTTTAACACTAGCTACGATTACAAAGTATATTACTTATGTCAAAATTAGAGAAAATAACAAAATATAAATTAAATGGGTAGATCCCATATTATTATAGAGTAGCCTAGTGTTTCTCAAACTTTTTTGGCGACGGAACCTTTTTGAAAAGCGAAATATTTGACAGAGC